CCATGCCCAGCGCCAGGCCGCCGCGGCGCGGCAGCTCTGGCGAGGCGGGCAGCGAGTGGCACTTGCGCGGCGCCGTGGCGGGCGCCGAGAAGTCGCACTGCACCTCGACGGCGGGCTCGGGCGTCACGGGCGTGCTGAGCTGCAGCGCCGCCGGGGGCGGCAGCTCGAAGGTGAGCGAGATGACCGACTTGCTCGGCGTGTCGAAGAGCTTGATCTTGCCACCCTTCAGGTCCTCGCGCTGCGAGAAGGGGTTGACGCGTGGCGGCGTCTCCTTGGTCCTGGCCCCGCCGTAGGGCTCGGGCGGCCGCAGCAGGGCGGGCGATTTGGGGGGGAACATGTCGGACTGGCTGCGGGACAGGCGCTGGTCCGGCTGCAGGTGCTGCGTGCCCAGCTCACGCAGCGGCGACTGCTCGGCGCGGGCGGGCGCCCTCCCGGCCACCCCTGTGCAGAGGCACAGCAGTGGGTCACCGATGCCCGCGGGCATTGGCAGGGATGGCTCCTCGCTAGCAGCTCCCAGTGCACGGTAGGGATTTGGGGCACTCTCAGGAGCTAGGGGAGCACTCACCCTCACCACCCTCTGAGCAGCAGCACCCTTCTCCACCAGCCCCCACTGGCCTGGGCTCTGCCCACTGCCCCTCAGCGGGGCAGCAGAAATTGGGGTCCATCCTGCATACCCCTCATCTCCCTCCCCACAGCACAGCCAGCCAGCTTGGGTGCTGAGGGAGGACATGACAGTCCCTGCTCTTTTCACCCATCCACGGTCTCTCCCTAGGGAATCTCATGGAGTTCCAGCAGCCAGGGCCGTGCCATGGGGCATTAGAAGCAGGGGCACCCACGTACCGTTGAGTGCGGCTGCCGTGCCCGGAGCCGGCAAGCTCTCCGTGCCGATGAAGAGGGTGGCCCCGGCACCCTCGGCAGCCAGCTGGTGCTGCAGGATGCCCTCCAGGCACTGCGTGATCTCCAGGAACGAGGGGCGGGATGTGGGTTCCATCTGTGGGCAGGAGGGGTCCTGGTCAGGCCCTGCCCCGCTCCTCAGCATCTCCCCAAGTCCCTTCGCCCCGGGGAACGCGCCCGGCCGGCTGCGCTTGGCAAGGGCAGCTCCCAGGCTCTCTCCCAGCCCCATGGGCACAGCGCGGCAGGGGTGCCAGGCTGCACGGGGTGCCGGCAGCAGGGATCCCGCGCCAGGAGCGCGGAGCTTCCCGGGCGGCCCGCGGCAGAGGCTCACACTGCAGCAGTGGAAGGCGAGCTGGAGGAAGGATGCTGGGCAGTCGATTCCCACCATGTTGCAGAAAGTGGCGATGTCCAGGCCGAAGTCCTGCGCCAGGGAAATGAGGAATCATGAGGCTGGGTCCAGTGAGGGCATCGCACTGCCCTGGGAGGGGGGACCCAGCACAGCTGGGCCCACTCCACACTGCTCACACTGTCCACCACTAAGGGGAGCAGGGACCTGGCAGCACCCTGGCATGAGGTGTCAGCACCCCAGGGGCGCCTGGGGTTACTCCAAACGGGAGGATGTCAGGACACAGATCCCTCTTGCTCTCTGCCTGATTGCAAGAACCCCCATATCCATGCCAGACAACTCTGGGCTGTGCTTAACTGCAGGCT